GAGGAAAAGAGACATTAGCCTGTCTTCTTGTGTTGTAACTGGACAGCGTCTGTGCATCAGCCTCAAGGATTTCATGGTCTATTTTCCTTCCACTCGGTTTAACTTCCTTCTTGCTCTAATTCTGAAATTACTCCCACATTTCACCGAATCCTTCCATTTTAGTTTCCATCTTGCTTTGTTCTTTCCTGATGCCGTTTGATCTGGGGTCTCYGCTGTTTTTTGTTGCATCGGAGGCGAAAGAGAGTTGGGTGTTTCTGCTGCCTGAAGCTCTTGCTTTCAGAATAACTCAGCTCATTGCATCTGGGGACCAGGTACCGAAGGCAAGGACATTGCTGGGTGCATAATGATGGCAAAAAAAAGTGAAGGCAGGGATTTAGAGAGAGGTTTTGTCAGACAAAAAGGGGCTCTTAGATCATCTGAAATGTCCCTGCTCACTGTCAGGGAGAGTTTGGACCAGGTGACCTTTAAAGGATCCTCCCAACCCAAATTATTCTGTGATTCCTTGTATTTTCTGGGGTATCAGTAGTAGATGCTGTGTATAAAAATAAGGCCATTTTAAGCTTGTTGGCTGGTTTCTGGGCAGGCTGGGTACTGATGGCACCTTAGCTCTATCATACCCCCATTCCTGTATTCAGTTTTGGGTCCCTCTCTACAAAAATAACATTGAGGTGTTGGAGGATGTCCAGAGAAGGGCAACAGATGTGGGGAGGGGTCTGGAGCACAAATCTGATGAGAAGCTGAGGGAGCTGGGGGGCTSAGCCTGAGAAAAGGGGGCTCAGGGGGAAACTTCTCATTCTCTACAGCTCCTGATGGGACGGTGTAGCTAGGTAGAGGTTGATCTCTTCTCCCGAGTAAAAAGTGATAGGACAAAAGGAAATGGCCTCAAGTTGTGCCAGGTGAGGTTTAGATTGGATATTAGAAAAATGTCTTTGCTGAAAGGGTGGTCCAACATTGGAACAGGCTGCCCAGGGAAGTGGTGGAGTCACTACCCCTGGAAATGTTCAGAAAATGTGCAGATGGGGTGCTTGGGGACATGGTTTAGTGGTGGCCTTGGGGCAATGGTTGGAGTTCGTGTCCTCWGGGTGTTTTCCAGCCTAAAGAATTCTGTGTACAAGGCATGGCCCATAGGGTCAGCAGCTCTGAAATCCTTGTGCTCATGGATAAGAGTGATCCGGGCCATTAGTTTGGATTTTCACAAGCACTGTGGTAGAGGTCTTCCCTAGGAAAGAAAAAACTGAGCAGCTTGAATGGGAGCATGAATTGGTGATCAGTGTGCAGGGAATGGTGGGGAGGGAAAAAGGGCCAATTCCTGCAGGGAGGGACATCACAGGAGGGCAAACCAGGGTCAGACTCTGAGCTTAGCTCTGCTTTGAACAGAGAATTTCAGGTCCCACCACCTGAAGCTGTGACTTTGTGCGCTGTGTTGGACCTTGTAACTGAGGGATTAGGTAATGATATGGCAGGTGGAATAAATACCACACAGATAAAGTGATGCATGTGGAAAAAAACCATACTGGAGTGCACATATGAAGTGATAGACCCTGAGTTGACCATTATCTCAGAGAATGGGGACYTCAGAGTTTCTGTAGATGATTCAAGGGAAGCCTCAGGTCAGTGTTTGGCAGCAGTCACACATCAAATCATGAGTTAGGAAGAAAGAAATATTRAACAAAACAGAGAACATAAGCATCTGTTAGATATATGCACCCACAAACGTGGGTTGTTCTGATCATCTCGGCTCCAAAGGGACTGGGAAAGATTCAGGAAAGAGCAGCAAGGGTCATCARAGATACAGAATGGCTTCCACAGAACTGTCTGCTGGGGAGGATTAATCTTTTTCTTTTGGAAAAGAGGCTGAAGAGATCGTAGTGAACTAAAAACATATGTCACAGAGGAGGTGAATAAAAATCTGATGTCCTCTCTTCTGATACAGGAGCTGGGGTACCTCGAGGGAAGACAGTAGGAGCCAAGTTCAAAACAGGCAGAAAGAGAAAAATATTGTATAGATTGGGGAGAACACTTTGCAAAGGTTCAGAAAGGAAGAAAGGATGTTGTGGGTGCTCAAAATCAACAGGGGTTCACCTTACCAGACCAAATTCATGGAAGGAAAAGATCTATCATGGGTTTCTAAATACAGGGATGGCACATCTAGCTGAAGTCATGGAAGTGATGGTAGTTGGAGCCTTGGCAGAACACTGCAGAAATCCTGTATATGCTCTGTTCTGCTCCTCCCTTGGCATCTGTGCGTGGCTGCTGTGGGGTTTGTGGAGGGGCTAAACCCATCTTAACCTTCTGTAAAGTCAGGGACAGCATTCCAGGGGTGATCCCGTCTTTGTGTCGCTGAGGAGGAGAGAGAAGCTGAGGCRTGAGCATGGCAAGAGGCACTAAAACATCTCCAGCCCTAAGCTGAGTGTGACACCCTAGAGGGGTGTGGAGGATGGAGATTGGTACAGAGGCAGGTGGCAGAGGAACACTGAGMCATTCCAGTGATTGATGTACTATAAAACTTAGACTGACAGGTGGTCAGACAACCTGAGGGGCTCAGAGGGATTTCAGACAAACAAACAGCTTCAGTTCCCTGTAAGCAGCAGACTCTTGTGCATTAAAAGCTGAGTGACGTTCAGCAATTTTGCAAACTAGGAAATGGGGTCCCAAACTTGGACCTCTCTTTAAGCTGGGCATATTAAAGTTTTTTGCCTAAAATCGAGTGTGGATGTCGTGATTTGCTAAATCACGATTGAAAAGCAACCCATCCCTGTGCAGCAGGAGCCATACACTGCTCAGTTATTGAGACACACTCTGTTTAGCTTGAATTGTTGTAAAGTTTCACATTACAGTAGAAATCTTTACAGAAGTAATAAATTGCATAAGACACTTCCAGCTCCCTGAAACAGGCTCTGGTTTGGTCTCTTTTGGGGGCGAGGTGTGTAAGCAAGTAGGAATATCTGCCTGCGGGTCTTGCTCCTCAACATCGTGTTTTTGCATGAGCTAAAAGTCACAATTTATATTGTTTGAAAACCACCAAGTTGTGATATAGTCACCCATCCTCCTTATTGCCATATTCTGCAAGGCCTGTGATGACGTGGGAGCTACTTGTGGGGAGTAAGTGACTCCAGACGAGTTACTGGGAGGCATGGGGCTGCAGGTTTCTGAGAAACAGGGCCTCCAGGAGGTGAACTGAGCAGCAGGCAGATGTCCCAGGCTGTATCCTGCCATCACATTTTAAGCAGAACTGCCCCGCTGAAATCAAGAGGCTTCGTGCTGCTTTCATCCCCATGGAGATCAGCGGGGGAGTTCTTCTTAAAAACCTGTTGGGACCATATGGCATTTTATCACTAGAGTTTCTATTTATGTTAAAACTGCTAAGAAAATAACTCACAGTTGTTTTTTTTTGTCATGCTTCAAGCAAGGTATTTTGTTTATCTGGCCTAATTTTTAATTATTTCTTTTTCCCTGTTACCCTTTCTAGGTTCCCTGCTATTCTTATGGTCAAAAGTTGTCCAAACTGGCCATCTTGAGAATAGCTTGTAACTATATCCTTTCCCTGGCCAGACTAGCAGACCTGGATTACAGCGCTGACCACAGTAACATGAGCTTCTCTGAATGCGTGGAGCAGTGCACTAGGACCTTACAAGCAGAAGGAAGATCTAAAAAAAGGAAGGTATGTTACAGCCTCTCCCCCACCTCACCCCCTAAATAATGGTAAAAGTTACAAAAGGGAGGGGAAAAAAGGRRAAAAAAATAGTTTCCAAAGTAGTTTTCTTCCTTTCTGAACCTTGTGAAATTTTCCTGATTTTTTTATCCTTTGAGTTTTTCTTTCTCTCTTTTTCTCCTCCATCCATCTGATCCTGTAATAACCACATTCCTCCCTAATCAAAAGCTTTTCTCTCCTCCCCATCCTCCGCCAGGCTCTTCCCCTTGTTAGTCGCCCATCGTGTGTTTCAACACGAGCGTGATCCTATTGAGAGTCATCTTGGGACTGTTACTTGTTAAACCAAACCAACCTTGAGTCGCCTTTTGGAGCCTGTAAAACACTGTCGCCCGCCTGTGTTTTCTGTTTTGTTTAATCTAACACTTATCTCTGAGAAAAATCACCCGACAACAAAAAAAAAAGGTAGCTAATGGAGACATTGTATGTATAAACACATTAGTAAGATGTATGACCTGAAGGACATGTGGGTATCTTGAGGAAACAACGTTAAATCTAATTATGCCTTGCATTCCTTTAGGTTACTTAACACTGAACCAATTAGGTGAAATCATCGTCAAGCGGCGGGAGGAGGAAGCAGAGCGTTCTGCCAGTTTTCCTCTCAGAGAGTGACATGGGTGAATTAAAGGAGTGATTGATGTCTTTGTTCGGGCTTTTATGACAAAAAGAGTTTTGTAAACTTGAATTGAACTTCCCCCTGCTCTCTGAGCTTGCTTGTCAGGCGGGATAATAAATCAGCAGGATTTTAATGGATGAATGGGCAGCTAAGCTGGGGAGCAGGCTCCTTCCCCGGTGTTGTTAAGATCAGCCTCCGATTCGGGCAGGTTTCCTCACTTTTCCTCCTCTTCAGCCCAACAAATCATCCTGCAGCAATTCAGTTTATAAATAAACACAATAGCACACTCCCTGTTGCTTCCTCTGGCTGTCACGAGCTGTATTTATGCCACCGGAGCRGCAGTGCCAGGCAGGGACGTGGCACCGCTCGCCCACAGCTGACRGCACCGCCTGGGACTGGGAGGCACAGCCCAAAATTGGGGTGGGCTGTGGGGTCTGTAGTTTCCAGGGACACTGAAGTGGTGCTGCCAACCCTAGGGTCAGAACTRGTTGCTGGGTGTCCTCTCCAAGTTAAGATGTGGGAGAAAAAAAGCATCGTTTGTGAGTCTTCAGCAGGTTGCTGGTTGGGTCTTGGGTGTCCTCCCCAGGACTAGAAGGGGGAGAAGAAGGGGATGCGCATCCTTTGGGAGGCTTCAGCAGGTTTCTAGCTAGGTCTTGAGTCCCCTACTAAAGTCAAAATGAAGTGAAAGAGAAGAATGAGCATTTTTCGTGGGGCTTCAGCACATTTCTGGGCTGTTGTTCAGGCTTTGGGTGCTCAGTGAGCTGAGACCCATTGTYTTGGTGTATGTAAACCAATGCAGGGCTTAAAGACAGAAAGCAAAGAGCCAGGTTTTAAATGGCTCCAAATCCCAGGGTGTTCACATCTGAGGGTTAGGGTTGGGCCCATCCTTAATWGAGAAAATAAATGAAGAATTAAAAGCCTTCCATTTAGGGTGTTTGCTCTCTAAAGTTCTCTCCAGAGCAGATACATGGAGAAAAGCCCCGAGCCCATCAGGAGTGCATGAGCAGTGAAATTCTCACAGGGCAACTCCTGCCTCCCAACAGGCACCCCCATCCTGCAGAAACAGGAGAAGATCTGCCTTTCCTCCCTGTTCTTGAAGGACACCCACCCTAACCTTTCTCCAAAAGCCCTCTCTGAAGAGAAAGCCAGGCTTTCTACCTGAGGTGGAGTCTTAATCCCCACTCTGCCTTGTTTATCATGCTGGAAATTAAGGCACAAGCATTTCTGCTGCGAGTTTAGGGCAGCCCCAGAGCACTCAGATTCCCTTGTGGATGACAAGTATAATTTCATTTCCAGCAGTGTTCGCTCAGGTGATGGCAAGAGCACCTTCAGCTGCTGATGAAGCCAAAACCAGCAGGTACCACTAAGTAATTTTGGTAATTCCCAGTATGTGGGAGCAGGGATGCAAAGCCTGGGTTGGGAGAACTCTTCTTGCTGTCTCACTTTCTGCTTGAGCCAAGCAAATCAGGAGCACGAGGGAGGAAAAGGCTGCTGTCAGAGGGAAATTACAGATCCGGGATGGCTGTGCAGGATGATCCAAGCTCTGGATGTCAGGTGGTGTGAAGGGATGTCTCTCCTGGGGGGTCTCACATGGGCGGCTGGATGAGGATACAATGGCTTGGCCCAAAATCGCCGCGCCCTCATTAATGTTGAAATCGGCACGTTTTTGTGAGCTCTGTGTGTTTTTAATCAGGTCTCTGAAACCACTGCTCACTGAGCAGTTCCTCTGAATTATCGTCTTTGGGGTGGTTGTTGTTTTGTTACATTTTTTTTTTTAGTTTCCTTTTATATTCTCTCTTAAAAAAATCACAGCAATCCTGAGCGCAGACCTCCGCTCCCTGAGCTCCACGTTAGATCCACAACACCCCTTATCTCCTGTCATCTCCATTTTATTGTGTCTGCCTCTCTCACAGCTCTCTGGTTGTGATATGCTGTGGCACCGTGAGCTTTTCACACAAAAAAGTAGCTGGTTGGAGTTTGTTTTGGCAGGCAGGGACTCCAGATGTTGCATTTGCTGGATTGTGCATTGCCTTTTGCTTTGTTTTTGGGGGCGAATTATTCTGCGTCCCTGATGTTAGGTTGTTGTTCAGATTTTGCTGTTGCAATAGGAAATTTACTGAGTGGTTTTTTACCCCCCCCCCTTTCTAGTCCCATTTTGTTAATTAGAAAAGTTGGCTTTAGCCTTTCAAAGTTAGCTAGGAAACAAAAATCCCCTTCTCTGTCCTARCTGCAGTTATAAGGTGATTTTAGTTCTTGCAGTTGAGAATTGACCGAGGGTGTTTGGTGATGGGAGATCTCATTTATAAGCAACAAAGGAGGCTTCAGATGCCTTTTCTTAAAAAAGAAGAAAAAAAAAGCTGACTGTGGGGGGAGGGGGGTGGTGAATTCTGATGATAGTTTTCATTCTTTGAAGCCGCCTCTTGCTTGGTTATACAAATGATCTGGACTAAGCCCTGCCCTTAACCATGCACCCAGGAGTTGCACCACATTGGAGATCTGGGTTGTGATACCCTCAGCAGAGCCCTAAATCTGCTGGGGTCACACTGATATCCTGGAAAAAGTGGGGGAACTGCCTTCAGCTCCAGTCAGGAGCTTTCTCCAGTGCACAGAGGATGCAACAGCAAAATGAAAGGGAGTCCAAGTTTCCTTGCCCCCAGTGAATGCTGTTTCATCGTGGCACATGATTGTCAGAGGCTAGAGGTTGTCTGAAAGTCTCACATGGATTCTGTAGTGTTTGGGGCCCAGCTTGCTGGTCCCACAGTCTTTTTCCAGCCTTTCCCCGCACAGGGAATGAATTCTCGTGCCCTGCAGTAAGGCAGTGTTGGGCTCAGGGCTAAGATAGGGCTGTAGTGTGGATGGCTGGGGGCTCTCCCCAGAGATTGGCATTTGTGGGGGCGCAGAGCTGTACATCACAGCCCCCCAGAACCCCCAGCCCTACAGGGCAGCAAACCCCACAGCAAACCAGCACAGCCACRGCCCATTGCTCTACACAGAGCAGGATCCAACCGCACGCAAACACCCTGCACAGCACCCCAAACCCCAAACACCCACAGCAAGGTTCCCTTTCTTTCCCTTCCCCTGCCCTCCTTGCCTTTGCTCAGCCCCCGTGCTATGCAGCAGCATCGCCACAGCCACGGCAGCTCAGCCGGAGCGGGGATGGATGGGTGAGGCATTTTTTTTTCTCTCTCTCTGCTCCATCCTCCCCCCTTGCCGGCTCTTCTGGCAGTCGCAGACTCCAGATGTTCGGAGCGCGAGCTGGGAAGTCCTGCTGGCGCCACTTGGGGCAGAGGGCAGGGGAAAGGCACGCGAGCTGGAACCCGGAGTACTCAGTCACTGCAGGACTTGGCGCATTCCCCAGCTCGCTGCTGGCACATTCCCCAGCTCTCTCCTGGCCATCTGTTCCAAAAAAACACTTTCAGAACCTCATCATCACTCAGGATACAACACTGCGAGCAGCTGTTAGCGAGGCAGAAGGAAAAAAAAAAAAAAAGAAACACACACACACACACACATTTAAAAAAAAAAAAATCGAAACCATGCGAAAGGTCTCTTTGTGAGAGAGGAAACTGGGTTATGAATAACAGGCGAGCAGTTGGAGCTCAATAAAAGTTTTCGGCTGGAATTTAGTTTCTTGTTTTTGTGACTGTGTGTGGATGAGCACAGACGCAAGGAATTAAAAATTAAAAATACGCTTTACTTGTATCTTTTCCCAGATAATTAAATAATATAGAAGCATATATAGAATTAAAAGCTTCTCTGTTTGTTGCAGCCTGCTGCACTTAAAGGGCTGATATTATGCATGTAATTATTGCATTTTATAAAATGGTTATTGTGGTGTYGTGCCATGCCTTGATACCCCCTCATTGCTACTTTGCTAAAAGCAGAGCTCCTGCTGTAGGTAACACTTATTCCCACTGAACAAATTAAAAGGAGGGTATTCTGCAGGCATTTTTACTTGCAGGAGTGAACAAGTTCAGGGTTTGTATTATAAAAGAGAAATGGTAGTGGCAGGCTTGATTTGTACAGCACTGAAGCCATTTGCTTGGAGCATATTTTTTTGATAACACTGTATCATGACTCGTGATTTATTTAGACAAAGCCCTGAGATAAAGCCACAGCTCCCACCCCCTGGTTTGTACAGATGATCCTGGCTGCAGGGTCTTGCTGTTATTGATCATCTGATATTGATTATCAGAACCATACAGAGCCAGCACAGTAAAACCTTGATGATCTGCATGGCATTTCTTCCTCGTGGCTTCCCATCCTGTGTGGAGAGGAAGGGGGGTCTCATAATGAGATTCGACCTCCCTTTCCCTGCAGTTTGACTTAGCAGAGGTTCCTCTTTAAAAATAGCTTCATTTCCCTGCTAGGACTTGCCGGCGAGAGCGGGCAGCCAGCCAGTCTGCTTCCCCACGGCCGCCAGCTCCGCGGGCTCCGGGGAGGAGCTGGACCACAGCAGAGCAGCAGCGTGCTCTGAGCCTGTCCGTGTGTCCATCTGCCATGGGACAGCATCCCTGGGGG